GGTTTAGAAATACACACACCCCCGTCACTTTTCTATTTTTTAACTTCGCCCCAACATTGTTTCTCACATTGGTCTTTTTATTCTCTGTTCCCCTAGTTACTCAGCCCCAGTACTCACTTCCAGTCATGCGGGAACAGAGCTCCTATTTAAACGTCTGGGGGAATATTGATTTCACAATTACTGTATATTCACCCAGTGATTACAGTGAAAGGAACAGTATTTTCAGTCTATAGTCTGTAAAATTTTTATGCCTTATAATGTATCAGGACCCAAGTAAGGTTTTTGAAATATTGATTATAATGCACATTGTTGAATGATAAAATAAGAGTGGATAGACGCCTGTGAGCAGCAGATGAACTATGCAGTTTATAGTCAGAGGGGAAGCTTTGTGTGATTGTGGTTTATATTACTGTATACACTTTGTGTCAGATTCCAGCAAATGCCTATGGTTAGGCACTACCAAAACTAATCTTTAATGAACCCAGCTGGTGCTTTGAGGGAACCAGTTTTGAGATATAAACCTCTTAGTTATTTCAATTGGAAAATCAGTACTGCTTGCAAAACTTTGTGTTTCTAACTCCTGTTTCAGACATCTTGGAAAAGCAAACTTTCAAAAATACTGAATTTTGGTTTTCAGAGCCAAAAGGTTCCTGGAGGAAGCAATAATAAAAATAACAATGCTGATATTAGTATATTATTTTTTATTACCGTAGGTCAATTCAGGTATTACAAAAATGTTTTTAAAATATAATAATCATTCTGCTTTTTTAGCCTGTGAAACTGGTTCTTAGAATAGGAGGATTCCTTTCATATACGGTATGTTGTCAAGAAGCTAAACTTGTCAGCAAATAATTAGATCCTAAAGCCATCAAAAAGAGAAAGCTGTATCAAAGGCTATATTTTCTTCAACCACCTGTCACATGTAGGCATTGAATGCTCTTGTGCTTCATTATGTTTCCATTTGTAATAATGCTAGGTTTGATTTTTGAACAAATTTAATGCCGGTGTCTACATTGTTTAGTTAATGTTTATAGTCAGTATTGTAGCTTGATTTAGGGATGTGAAAACCTAAATTCAAATACAAAATATTCTTTCTCAGCCTCTATTGTAGCAGGAAATGGAGAATTGCAGCTTAATTTTCTGATTTGTTTAGACTCTTAGAGGATAATGTATAATGTATATAAAGCATTTTACTACATAAAATGCACACAGTGGACCAGTTCTTGACTATTTTTCCATATTTCCAAAATGCCAGAAGCAAAGTTTCTGTGTTATAATTTATGAGTCTTCTGTTAGCTGGGAAAAATTGCTTGCTGCTGGTCTTGGAGGAAGTACGTTGCATTCAAATCATTTCTTTATTTACTCTGGCAGATGTTCTCTCTTATTCCCTTCATGCCAGCTCATCTGTATTACAGTAAAAAGTACTGTATTCAAAACAGTAAGTTGCAGTTAAAGAAGACCCATTTGATCAATGGAACTTATAGAGGTGTTGACTCACTAAAACACCATTGATTCAATAGTGCTACACTATTGTACTGTAATTTACTATTCTAAACAACAGGATTTTGGCCAATATTGTATTTCTAATGCATTTTAAAGTAATTTTGTGGAATAACAAAATACTTCTATTTTTGTAAATAATGTATCTTTCCTTTTAGAGGATTGTAGATTATATATATGTTCTTGTGGCAGGGAATAATATGACTATGTAAGTTCAACTACATAAGTTCAACTGGTTTGCTTCCAAGTACTGTATAGTTTTAGTATTTAGTAATGAAAGTGTGTAAATAAAAAACAGTTACATGAATACTTTTGATTATTCACTGTCTTCAGAAACACATTGCATTGTATATGGTCGTATTTCCACATGAAAGCATTATTTTAGAAGAATATGTATTGCCACTGTACATTTCTGTAATGTACTGTCTCAGTCCTAGCATTTTGTTGTTCTCAGCAGAACAATTTAGAAATGGCGATGTGAAATGTTTCTCTAGAAGCAGCTTGGTCTTTGATCTCATCTGACCGTAGGTTCCTGTGAGAGAAATAGAGAACCAGAAAGGTGAACATTCAAACAGCGTGTCGCATCCAGTAAGCATGACTCAGTTAGTGCAAGGAAAAGCAAATGTCTCAGGCTACATGCTCATGCCCAGCGTTCTTATTTTTTCAAGTTTAAGGAAGTTACTCTCAAGGTTTTGTTCTTCATTGCATCAGGATGTTTAACAATAATATTCATTTCCCAAATTTAGTCACAGTCTATGTAGAACTACTTTAATGTACACACACAAACATACTCAGGCATTCCAGTGAATCAAAAGCCATTGGCAAAAGTCGTGCTGTGGGTTGTGTGTGGGTGATGAATACTATGAAATATATACTGTAATCTCTCCTTACCTCTGATTAAGTAGCTGAGGTTTAACAAGAATTGTGGTGCTTGAGCTTGATTGATCGCAGTATTAGTCAAAGCCCCACTTCCTAAAAATAGCTGTTCCAAAACCCCCAGATTTATAAATAAATGATGCCTCAGATTCAGAAAGCAGAATGAGCTTGTGCCCCCTGTTCAGTTTATTTGTCTTCCTATATAATTTTAATACTGCACATTCCCTCAAACACCAGCTTCTAACTTAGGTAAGCTGTTTAATAATATCAGATGTACTAACTAGCTGTTGAGGTTACAGACCCTGGTTACCGTCAACAATGTCTGGTGGGTTGTGTATTCCCTAGTTGTAGTTTTAGAAGAGGTAGCTGTGTTAGTCTTGCTAGCATGTCAGGCAAACACAGAATTTAAAAAAAAAGATGACAAAAATGTTGTGTCTCCTTAAAGACTAACTGCTGTAATTTTAATGTGAGTTTTCATGGACAAGTCCACTTCTTCAGACTGGTCTCAAAAGTACACCTGTAGCCGTCATCCTTACTTCATGCTCACAATACCTCTGCAAGGTCGGCCAGGTTGAGATAATGATTGGCCCAAAGTTAGCTAAGGATTTCCTGGGGTCAATGGAAATTTGAGCTTGGATCTCCCAAGTCCTAGTCCATTAGCCTAAATGCTACATCAAATTGGCTTTAGCATAAAACATATTGTTTTTCTTGCAGTTCTGTGTATTGTACTATTTATGCATGAATTAATAGAGAATGTGGTTGAGAGGGCTGACAATGTACCTTCAAAGGAAATGAAATGTTGATTACATTAGGTAAAATGTGATGAAATGCAGTGTGGGTTGGAGGGTTTATACCATGCACTAAAGATATATTAAGTTGATTAAGTAATTCATTGATGTTTGAAAAGCAATAGAATGCTTTTCAGGTTTAATGAAGTTGGATAAACTAAATCAGCACAGTGTCAGTGGCAACTTGCTACTACACTGTGTTATGACCGGCTGTTCAGCCATGGTAAGTCTTTCTTGCAGTTCTCCTTTTGGTTTAAGAAGAATGGAAACTTTCCCTCCATTTTACTGTAACTGAGTATTGCCAAAGAAGTGTCCAGACCTACAAACTATTGAAAAATAAACTTGCTGGAATTCTTGCACACACTGAGTCAGATTTCCATTGTGATGAATAGGTGGTGACAAACCAGTGGTCTTTCTGGGAAATGCAGTGGTGAACTGGCTGGTTTTGTTTCTTGGGTGCACGGATGCTGCAAACCTTGTGAAGATTCAACATTTTATCATGAAGCAAATAAGTGAACTCATCTTCCTGGAATCTGTGGTTATTTGTGTTTTGGCCCAAGAGTTCCTCATAAAATTCTGATAAAGTTCATGCCTATGGGGGCTTTGTAGTAAAAGATCGAGTTTATCACAACTGATCGCAGCAATGGGGTGACATGGATCAGCTGCTTGGAAGCAGTCAGTTGAGAGTGTGGTGTGGCTGTGAGGAAGTGCCTTGCTGATGTACAATTGTGTAAATAAAAAGTTGCCTTCCTTTACACTTGTTTTGCTTCCCCCTCAGTAACCTTCTCAAAATGGCAGTTAAGAAATGTCAGAACCTAAAAATGGGATGCTAGCACATATCATCTCCCCTGGTGATTGTGCTGTAATGTATCCTTTTATAATAGTGGACTTCTGTTCACCAGTATGTACAGTGGTTAGAGTATTAGACTAGGAATCAAGAGTCAAATTTTGACATGGCTATAGAATTCAGTTGGTGATTGGTATTGGACCAGTCACAGTTTCTCAGTTTGTTGTGAGGATACAGTGAAGAGGAAGAGAGCCATGTAAGCCATCTTGAGCTTAATGGATAAAAGATGGAATATAAATGTAACAAAAAAGAGAAATATATCTGCCATGGATTATGGTGTAGACCTCTTACATATGGCCTTTTCCCCTGTGAAATAAATACCAGAGAAAAAGGTGAGCTTCTTTGATCAAAATATAACAGTATTTCTGCAGTAAATAGAACTAGGATGTAGCCTACCAAAACAATGATTTTCAAGAACTGAAGTGTAAAATGATCTGCATACCACAGACTTTGGTTATGATTACTTCAGTTCTTATTTTCTGAACAGTTTTTATGTTGCTGTTCTGCAGTGTGGGTCACCGTCAATAATTTTCCAAAAACATCTCCACCTTGGCCTCAATTATTTATTTATTTATATTTCTATGCTACTTTTCTTGCAATTATGGGACCCAAGGTGGCTCATAATTTATTAAAAAAAAACAAGCAAGTTAAAACACAATTATTGCATCAAAAACAATAAAGCCTATATTTGCATTAGAATAATTAGTTAAAATGAATTAAATGCCTTAAAATAGATGTAAACAGATAAAAAAATAAATGTCTTGATGAGACTTTACTGAAATTTAAGTTGGGTGGCTGCACATTTTTGTCTGAAGGACAGCATTTCCCTTCTTGGCAGAAATGACATGGCAGTGACTAATATAGATGAAAGGTTGATGTGTAATGCTTTGAATCTGACTGTATGCACTTAGTCACACACCTGAAGGCAATTCAAGAGGAAACATTAAACTTTCATGTATGCAACTTAACTCACCTCTTTCTCCTGTCAGGTCATCATGGCTGTTGCTGGCACCACTTCTTTCTCCTCAGCTAACGGTCCCAACTTCAGGCCTTTGTTCTGAGAAATCACACAGGTTTCAGTGGATCAGAAACTTTGTCCCGGAGTTTGGGGTTCCCAGCTCTAGTGTCAAAGTGATTTCGTCCCCCACAGAATTCTACAAACTTCTAAAGGTAATCAGCGTATCTCTGTGATGCATGCCTTCAGGGATGTGGTGGCAAGAATATAGACCTAAAAATGTGGTATTTTCGTCATACGTGTCACCATTTTAATCTTTTCATGTTATAAATGACAACTGCAATTTTACACATGAGCTATTTTAATATGTGAACACACATGCTGTGGTATATTAAAATAGCTTATTTAGGCTGGCAGAACAAAAAAATTATTCTCTTCCCATTCTTTGGTGATGGGCAACTTTGACATGTCTGGGGTGGAATGTTCATTCTCAAAACACACCAGGAGCCATACCAGGCATGAGAATGGCTGAAAATGGCAAAAATGTTAGAAAAAGCTAAGGTCATTTTTGGGTTTAATCTTTAGTTGGATTGAAGAACATCAGCCAGCCATTTAAAGCAAAAAGCTACAGGTCTTTGAGGGCTCTGGAAGTGGGAAACACACACACACATATGTATTGCACTGGGTGTACTTTAACTTACTTTAGCATGGTAAGTTGCAGTTAGAGTAAACCCTCTTGAATCAGTGGAGCTTACAGAGGTGTTGACTCACTGAATTCCCATTGATTCAGTGGGCTTTCTTTACTATGATATACTACGCCGAGCAGCTGAATTTTAGCCATAGTATTCCTTATTTTAATTGGGGGAACGGAAGTACCATATTTGCCTCATTACAAGAGAAAATTATAAGGTGAGAGTCTAGTTATATTTAGTTATTAGTGAATTGTGCACATACCATGGGTAGAAGGGAATGCTTTATTCATGTCCCTTCTCTTTCCAGTTATGTCACTCTGCTACTCAAGAAGACTACAGAGTTGTAAGAAGAGTGGCTCTGCTATCTTTGGAGCAAGTTAGGACACTGATTTCCCATGGTCCCAGCTCATATGGAAATCCCCCCACAGGTAGCAGAGGTGCTCTTCTTCAGACTCATTGCTCTTCCATATACTGTATAGGAGAATGACTAAGACAGAAACAGGGAGGGCAGGTCTTGACTATACATGATTTGGCAAGTAAATGATTTGTTAACAGCTGAGTAGGGGCTTCTGATCTTTGAAGAGAGGTGATACCTGGAGAATCCCAGATATTTGTAAGTTAAACTGGCACCAAACATCACTGCCTGAGGGCTTGAGATGCAACAAATACATCTTCCTGCAACTGATTTCATGTTTAGATCCTAGTGTTGCTGTTCCTCATGCCATGCAAGTTTTGTGTTTTAAACACTGGCAAGGCAGCTTTGTCTTGCACTGTGCTCTCATAATCTAATTTTATTCCCTACAAGTTTTTAGAACAGCCTTCACTCACCTGATGCTTCCCCTACTTGGACTACAATTCCTGTTATCCTCAGCCAGCACAACCAATGGCTGTTCTGACTGGGGATGATCAAAGTTCAGCACATCGTGAAGCACCATGCTGGGAAAGGCAGTTCTAGGTGTACATTTGTATTTTTTTTAAATAAAGGCATTTCTGTCAGTCTTGAAAATTACAGTATTACAATCCCTTTGTTTTTAGGGCTGTTTTATGTTATCAGTGGATCAGGTAAGAATAGAGAGGCATCAACTTTGCACGCCATAAAACTATATTTTAACCCGGTATCCTCAGAGTATGAGACTACAACTCACATCTTCCAACTACTGTTGATTGCCTCCACTTTATAAGGCAATCAACAAAGTACTGATTGCATATTATTTTGGCATTTCACTCAACAGAATTTTAAGTTCTCTCTTTCTCTTAGGAACAAATAAAGATGGCCAAGGAGCGAGTAGTATTAGCTTCACTCTACTTGGGAACAGGACCCCTGGAACAGGAACTAGTAAGTGTATGAACTGGAAGAGAGGGACTGCATATGTATGAGAAGCAACTAGCTAAGAGGTACCCTATTTTCTCAGATGGTATTTAATAGCCTTTCTTTTCTTCTTTCTGAAAGAATCCTTAATCACTTTATTTGCTCTTCTGTCTTCATGCTGGGAGATTTTCTTGGCAGCTTTGGCATTCTAGAAAAATTAATGCAAGGCAGATTATGTAACTTAGCACTGCAAAGTTAACATGCTGTCTGGAATTTTTCTTGGATCAATTACCGTATTTTTTGCTCCATAAGACGCACTTTTTCCCTCCCAAAATGTGGGGCAGGAAGTCCGTACGTCTAATGGAACAATAGGCACAATTTCGTTGCTGCTTGCCCCGTGGGGGGGAGCATCGCAAGGGTCCGGGTGAGCCTTCCAGGACCCTTGCAAGGCTCCCCCACCCCCACGGGACCAGCGCCGGCGAAATCACCAGTTTCCAGGTGGGGGGAGC